GCACCACCCGGCCATCCCAATGGTTCCGGAGCAGGGCTCTACAACGCTCTGGGAGGCGCTGTGCGGAGACCTAATGGATGAGATCTTGCACACACACCACAGAGTGGTACGGCAGGTGAGTCTGTACGGCAGGTTCGCACGATGCAGGTTGGTAAATGGCTGCCAGTTCCGGGGTTCATGTTTCCTGCTTGGATGGCTCTACTGGGACACGCGCGCTGTCCCTGTTTTCCTCTCGTCCCCGCGGCGCCCCTCGGTAAGGCCCTGCGCCTTGCGTTTTCTTTTCGTTGAATCCTCCCTGAAGAGGGCCCAAACCCCTCGACTACCTAATTGACCTCAACCGTTATCCCACAACCACATAACGGTCGTTTGGTTCAGGCTATCTCCCAGAGGAAGGGCTATGAGGTGTTCACGGAGGGAGATGCGTTTGTGGTCGCATTCCACATGCCGGAGGACGCGTTGGACTTTGCGGTGGACCTGCAGGTGGGAGCCGACCTAACGTAACCAACTAATTAACTAACTAACTGGGTCAGTCCTTGCAAGGCTCTCGGTCATTTCTCGCTTACTTCCGACTAACCTTTGCACCTTTCCATGCTCCCCTACGCGTCCCTACGACCTCCCACTCCGTGGCGCTATTTTTTCCTCGCCCGCTCTCCACACCCAATCCACTGTAACCACCACCACCACTGCTACCACTACCACAATCACTACCACAACCACGGTTACCACCACTACCACTACCACTACCACCACTACCACCACTACCACCACTACCACCACTACCACCACTACCACCACTACCACCACTACCACCACTACCACCACTACCACCACTACCACCACTACCACCACTACCACCACTACCACCACTACCACCACTACCACCACTACCACCACTACCACCACTACCACCACTACCACCACTACCACCACTACCACAACCATAACTACCCCATACACCCCAAAGTTCCCACACCCTAGAATGCCCATAATGCTCATAATGCTCTAACTTCCCTCCACCTTTGCAGCCAAGTCGTTACATCGCATGAAATGGCCACCGTGCTCCCACCACCTCACCAACACACTCACACAGGTCGCGATGCTATGTGCTGACTGGCCATCCGAGCTTCTCGAACAGTCCGACTGCTGCGAAGTGTGGGTCCGTCGCCACTCGGCCCAACAACCCTCGTCCTCACCCGCTCCCCAAGCTTCTAAACACGCCCTGGTCGGGGACTTGAGCGCCCTGGCGATTGCGGCCGGGAGCAACGGAGGAGGCGTCAGGGGTTCAGGACTCGGACAGGGGCCAGCAGCAGCAGCTGCAGGGCTGGGCTCTGCGCCACCGGCCAGCGGGTCCTTGACAACCCCGGGGGGACTCTGGGCGGGTACCGCAATGTACGGCGCGTGGAGCAGTACAGGCGGCAGACCTGGAAGGCGGATGTGAGGCAAGGGGCTGGGGAGCAGGGGCCCCCTGGGGAAGAAGATGGTGGGGGTGGGGGGGTGAGGTATGACAGGAGTGAAGCATGTTATAAATATGGCCCGGGTTCCCAAAGCCACGTAGGCCCAATGGAGGTCGGTAGAGGCGAGGAGGGCCGGGGGGGATGGGTAGGAGCTGTGGGCCCTACCTGCAACGGGCCATTTTGTGTTCATGGGGGCTTCCGACGTGATCGGGCGCCCAGTACTCTGTCTTCGGACTTCTGCACGGCCCAGCACCCTTCCTTCCACTCGGACGACTTCCTTCCTACCCTAGAAAGAGATCATTAAAACTCCAAGGAGGAAGTGCTAATGAGGACCTCGTGCCTTGACACGTTCTTGTCCTCCCCGGCTTGCGGACCGTGCCCTGGAACCCTCGGCTGCATGCCACCCCCTCCAGCTTGAAGGCGCTCTCGCCTTTTAGACGACGCAGCCTGGAGTCCGCGATCCGATTCGAACTGGGGTTGCGACCGCTGGCAGCACTGGGTCGTTTCGCTAAGCTGTCGAGCAACCCCGGTGTTGGCGACGGCGGCGGCGGTGGCGGCGGCGGCGGCGGCGGCTGCTCTACCCTGCCGTCCATAGGCGGACCGCCTAGCTTTCATGGTGATGCCGGCGCCGGCTTTCCCGTCCTTTTGTCCGGCGGTGGCGGCAGCGGTGGCGGCAGCGGCGTGCCGTACGGCAATACCCTCGCCGGTGCAAAAGACAGCAGGCTAGACCGTTGGTTCTCCACGCCGTTTGCCCGTATGTCGCCCACGCTGTCGATGCCGCAGCCGCCGGTGTCGGCACGCAGCGGGCACTCATTGCTAAACGTCGTAAAGACCTCGCCGTCGGCGGCGGCAGTGTTAGCGGTTGAAGCAATTACCTCTCCACCGCCACCGCTGCTGCCGTACACGCCGCGGCCCGTCTCAGACGCCTCCACCGAAGCTGCCGTGACGGCGAGTTGCATTCGGCACGTGCCCAAATCGGAGGTGACATCTGCGGCGACTGCGGCTGCCGCGGCGGCGGAGGCGGAGCCAGGAAAAGTCTCTACAGGCGGCGGGAGCCTTACGCTGAATGGGGCTCCTCGGGCTCGGGTATCACGAATGGTGCCGTACCTTGGCGTTGGCGGCGTCGACGGCCGCTGCATCGACAGCGTCGACGTTTACAATCCCCCACAGGCCCCTGCGGACGTCTGCAGTACGGCAAGCGGCGCTCTCAACGCGGCGTTGCAGCCTGCCGGTGCATCGGCAGATCCGGTGGGGACAGAGGCGGCGGAAACGGCGGAGCCGGGGGGGGAAGTCCACGACGCTGCTGTGGTTTCGGAGCCCAGGTGCTCTTCGCAGCTTTCCAGCCCCAGGGGAGCGCCTTACACGACCTGTACATCTGTACTCACTTCCAGGTGTGGCGGGGATTGGGGACTACCGGCGTCGGCGCCTGTGGAAGCGAGGTATAACACCTGCACATGTGATAACAGCACTGAATCGTCCGGAATAGGCCATGTAGTTGCGTTTTTCCAACGCATCAACGCTAAACTATTATGACGTACGGTACGGTACGCACTCATCGGATGGTGGCTGAAACGGTAAACGGTATCCGCCTATCGACTATCGCTTGGGTACCCGGACATGTCGCAGGAAGCCCTCTGAGACGGCGCCCACGGCGGCAATGCTTGCGTCGACGGCAAGCCGGCAAAACGCGCACGTTATCCAGTCATCAACCAGTCCCGACATGGCCTTGTCCCAGCTCCCTACGCGGTCTGAGTCGCCGCAGCAGCCGCCGCCGCCACAGCAGCAGCAGCAGTGGGAGTGTGGCTGCCGTAGCGGTCTCCATCAAAACGGTATTGTGCACCAGAGACCCATGTTCGATACCGATAAGGAACAACAGGCAGAATTGGGTCGGGATCGTGATAGCGGATATGTACGCCGCAATCAACCCGATAACACCCGTCTACATGTTACCCTACTAAACAGCACCTCCGAAAGTAACAAATGCAGCCAACAGCTTTTGGAAAATACGGACGGCGTGGAAGGAGATCGTTCGACGCAGCTGTTCCGGATGTCGTACCGTACGGGTGCGGCTCTGAGTCTGGAGGGTGACGGGAAGGCTGCTGCCTTCAACACGGGTAGCCGTACCGACTGCGGCACCGACGGGGCCGACGCTGGCGGCGGCGGTGACACCGCTGCTACCACTACTGCCTCAGCTTGCGGTGCTCATAACAGCCGAGCAGACCTTGTGCCGAATGACGAGAATCTGTCTACAGGTGCGGGCGGCGGTGGTAGCGGCAGCGGCGCGGGTGCCGCCGCCGCCGCGGCCGCCGCGGCCGTCGCCATTGCTATTGTAATGGACGGTGCTAATGATGTGGGTATATGTACTGATGTTGTTGGCTCTGCTGCTGTGCGAGACAGAGGCCGTGTGTACGGTTCCCAACGGAGGCCGCCGACTACGGAGGCGGCAGGCACTGTTAGCGCCGACAGGGCCCCGACGCAGCTGCCCCAAAACCTTGGCGAAACTAAGAGATTTGCTAACGGAAACGCCGTCTCGCGAAACGTCGATAGCCGAAGGCTGCTGTACGGCTGGCGCAGCGGCAATCACGGTGACGGAGGAGACGGTGGTAACGGCGGCGGTGGTGACACTGGCGAAGGCGAAAATGCCGTACCAAGGGGCGTCTCCAGCGGCGCCGTTGGGCTTCTTACTTTAGAGCTCGATGACGGTGGTGGCGGCGAGACGGGGGACTGGCGGAGCTGCGTCGCCTGGGACACGAACCCGCCGTACAGCGTGTATGGCACAGCAGATCCGCCGTTGCCGCCACCAACTCTGAGCCCTCGCACATCTACACCCAAGTCACCGTCAGCGGCGAATGCCGCCGCCGCTGCCACCGCCGCCGCCGCTACAGCCGCAGCAACGCCCGCAAGTCGTCGTCTAACACCACCCCTTCCCTTGCTGTCCCTATCCCGAGGTCGACATAACAGTCTCCACGCTCCCACCATCAGCAATAACAATAACAATAACAATAACAACAACAACCCAGCAGCAGTAGTCGCCGGCAACGGCATAACACCCGAACACGGCAACCGCGCCTGCAGCCGGTTTGGCGGCTACGGCACTGCCACCACCGCCAGCACCATTCATTGCTCGCAGCTACAAACGGATCGCAGCTACCATTTCTCCCCTAGCTGCTACAGTAAGGCGGCCATCAGCAGTCCTCACAGCCCGGCGCAGCCGCAGCGCGGTCTGCACAACGCCGTGCTGTGCAGTAGCGTGCCAAACCGAACGGCCCTGGGGACGCCTGCTAAGGGGGGAGGTGTAGAAGCCCGTAAAGCTTCCGTCACAGCCCGTCAAGGCTCCCTGCTGGCAATCACGCAGCGCGCTGGTTCCGCCTTCGCCACCGTCGACGGAAATTGGTTTGGCGGCCAGCTGACCCGCCGGAAGCTGATGCAACTGCAGCAACAGCAGCCGACGGAGGCAGAGACGTCGGGCCCGGCGCCGCAGCAGCTGCGGAGATCGGCTAGTGCACAGCGTTACCTGGCGGCGGCGCCGGCAGTGCGAATGCAAGCTGACGGCGGTGCTGACGCTGAAGTTGACGCCGGCAGCGGCACCTTCCCCGCCGGCACTGCTTATGCTAGCGCTGTGTGCAGTATCGGTGGCGCCGCCAGCGCCGCCACAGCTGCAAGCTTAGGACGCCCCGGGCCGACGCCACAGCAGCATTCCCAGCCACCGAAGCCGGGTGAAGCCAGCGAGGTCCGCCAGGTGGGAGGGACGGTGATGACTGCAGGGGCATCGGAGGGGGCTGAAGGGGATTTTGATTGGGTTATACAAGGGAATTCAGTTGGGGAGTTGTGGTTATAGGGCGTGCGCAGGTTGGGGCACCATCAGCAGGACGAGCGCGACGGCACGCGGCTTTGAAATCAGGCGGGTGCATGGGGATAGTGGTTGCTCACCTGTACATTCATTAGAAACCACAATTTCCGCAGCAGTTCGGGGGCATCCGTAAAGTCGGAGGGTGTATGGTCATCTACAAATGTTCATAGGATGACTCTATGTGTACTAGAAAAGAACTCAATATACTTGGACATCGTAGCACGCTGTCTACAAGATTCGAACTTGCGCGGGAGAACCCAGTGGATTTCAAGTCCACCCCCTTAACCACTCGGGCAAGACAGCTGTTGATAATTCCCGAGATACAAATTACTATATACCTATCGTGCAATAAATTCCCAGCTCTAAACTCCAACTCCCAAATGCCAACTCCCAATTGCCAACTGCCAACTCCCAACCCAAATCCCAACTCCCGACCCACCACCTCCAATTTTTTCAACCCCTGGTAAAATAAACTGGATCGGATTCTGCTGTTTTGGTTTCCAACACCCCAAGACTGCATCTTCCTCAACCGTCTGCGTCCCCCGCAATGAGCACACGAAATCACTGAATGTGCCGCAACCTAGCTGGTAGCGGCCGATCCTAACCCACTAACGAACCTTCTACCGTTGGCCATCATGCGAGCGACTTGCTGCTGCCGCCGCCGCACTGACAGGAGCCCGGTATCGGGCACCGCAGCCTGCTGCAGCGCCTAAACCCCTCATATCGACGTCGAAGCGCCCAATCGGCCCACCAGTCGATAGGAGCGCTGAGAGCCTCCCCCAGCGGCATGGCGGCGGCTTTGTCGGTGATGGAAGTGGACGCGGCGCTGTCATCGCCGGCCTCCGCCGTCGACGACGACGCAAGCAGTACCCTCGGCGGCGGCGCTGTGGCCTTGGAGTTAGCAAGCAGTTTGAATGAACCATCCAATGTTTTGGAGCCAATCTGTATGGGCCGTACTGAAAATGCCACCAAGAACGGAGCCGATGCTACCACCACCGCTGTCGCTGCCTTTGAGACGGCTACTTCAGTTGCTGCCGTGGCAGCATCGCCAGACCACATCGCCGTCGCCATCCTTACCCCGTCTACCACCATCGCCACCCCTGCCGCTACCGCCACCGCTGCCGCCGTCGCCGCCATTAACCCCCCGCATATAGAACACGGTTCGGATGTACATGTCCCCTTCGGTACGACATTATCGGAAACTGCCACCTCCGCCAGTCCAACAACCGCTGCGGAAGTGGACACGGCCGCCGTGGCGTTGCCGCCGACGGCAACGCCGTCGGTCACTTCTGCCTTCGCTGCTGCCGCTGCCATCACTCCAGCTGTAGGTTCCTCCATTCCGCCTCGCCTCATGGACATTACTCACGCGCTGTCCGGATTCAACGGGGGACGACCCGCGGATATGATATCCACACACGGCACGAGCGTTGACCGTGGCGGCGGTGCCCCGGCTGCCACCCATGCCACCGCCAACGGCTTGTCGACGAGCTTGGCGCTGACGGGGTACCACGCGCTGTACCACATGGGCCACAGCAGCCGCCTTCTGATGCTGGGCCAGGCGGCGGTAGCGGCGGCCACATCATCGGCGCCGCCGCCAGCGACTGCGGCGCTGCTGGCAGCGGGAGCGTCCCGTGGGTCACTCTTTATGGATCTGTTTTGGAGGGACATAAACCTCGCGGCTACCGGTGAGGCGGCGGCATGATCGAGAGCTTGTCAGAGAACTTGTTGCTCGTACCTATAGTGCGGTCCCTTCGGTTCCGAGAGGGATTGACAAAGGTTTGGGATTTGGTGGGGGAGGTGTCAAGGAAGGGGAAAGGTTAGGGTGAGGACGAAAGGGCAGTTGGGGAGATAAGGGCAGTCAGGGAAGCGGCTCACCCTAACCACCTGCCCAACCTCCTAACCACCTGCCCAACCTCCTAACCACCTGCCCAACCTCCTAACCACCTGTGTCAATTGCCTGCGCAACTATTGCTTTTTGCTGCCCTTGTGCGCTGTGTCCATAGCCGCAGCGGCGAGTGATGAGTCCAGGGAAGAAGTTGCTCGCGTCGAAAGAGCCCCTGGCGGTGTTTTCAGCATGGGTGCCTCCGCCTCAGACTTGGTGCCGTCGCAGTTGCCGCAGCGCCAGCCTGACGGCTGGGGTGCCCGAGCTGTCAGCGGCGCCGCCGGCGTGGTGTTCACCGTGGCTGCGGCGTTGCGCTCCATGTACGAGCAGGTCAGCGCCGAGTGCATTGCAGCACAGCTTTGTACGATGTACGGCATATTGGGAGAAGGGATCCCCGGCATCGGCGGCGCCGCCGCTGCTGCCGCGAGCACGGCGGGAACATCCCTTACATCCGATCTTCAACTTGTGTTTCGTGGCCTACGGCTGCGGGTCGGGCTCCATTCAGGGCCTTCAGAGGCGGAGGTAAGCCAGGGGCTCAGGGACAAAAGGCTGCTGGCTCCGACACAACTCGGTAGGCTGGGCGGAAACAAGTGTTAGAAAGGAGATCTTACATTGCTTGCGGTGGTATAGGGGTGGGACCCAGCACGCGGAGCAGGAGGAGCTGCAGACGCAGGAGATGCAGGGCTGCCGGTGGAGGTGTATTCCTTCGAGATAGCAAAGATGAGAAACCTTAGCAATTCACAGCGACTAGGAAACCCGAAACCCCAAAGAACATTCCGAAGCGACGACTGTCCTGTAACATGTCTTTTCACACTGTACACGACGTCGGCCTCCCTATGCTTCACAGTGCTTGTGGTGGCCCTGATCATAACGAAACACATCGCCGCCACTGCACAACACAGGGGCTGGACGCCACGAAACAGCTAAATCCAGAAACGCCCCACATTACGCACAAGCATTTTCCTATGTTCCCTTTCCAGTCAGCCCTTACACGCCATGCCGACACCCGACCCCCTCCCTTCCGCATCCACACATATACAGCTCACTCAACCGAACCCCCGCAGCTTCCACCAACTCCCACCAACCCCCACCAACTCCCACCAACCCCCACCAACTCCCACCAACCCCCATAAACTCCCACCAATCCAATGAACTCCCACCAACCCCCACCAACTCCCACCAACCCCAATTAACTCCCACCAACCCCAATTAACTCCCACCAACTCCAATTAACTCCCACCAACCCCAATTAACTCCCACCAACCCCAATTAACTCCCACCAACCCCAATTAACTCCCACCAACCCCAATTAACTCCCACCAACCCCAATTAACTCCCACCAACCCCAATTAACTCCCATTATTTCCCATTAACTCCCACCAACCCCAATTAACTCCCATTATTTCCCATTAACTCCCACCAACCCCAATTAACTCCCATTATTTCCCATTAACTCCCACCAACCCCAATTAACTCCCACCAACCCCAATTAACTCCCACCAACCCCAATTAACTCCCATTATTTCCCATTAACTCCCACCAACCCCAATTAACTCCCACCAACCCCAATTAACTCCCACCAACCCCAATTAACTCCCATTATTTCCCATTAACTCCCACAAGCTGGTGCCTCCTAAACTTCCCAACAACCACCCTTCCCCCTTTTATCCTCCATCTCTCTCAGGCTCTAGTTAGATACTGCAAACACCCAATGATCTCCATGAACGGCCAAACCACTGTCGTGGTGGTTGCAATGGTACGATGCCGTCGCAGGTGGAGTTTTTCGAGCAAGGGGGCGCTTCCGGGGCTCGCTATCTGGGTCGCTTCCTGGCTACTAGCAAAGACGTGTGCGATGCCGCCACGGTAGGTGCCTGTCTGGGTGTCCTCGACTCCGCGCCCCAGGCGGAGAATCGGGAACGAAGGGGGTTTCGGAGCTAGAGGTTTCAGAGCCGGAATGGATCCGGGTTCCGTTTCAGTCGGGGTTGGGACGATGGGTTGATGGCCCGATGAGCCCATGAGTCGGTTGAGGCGGTTGACCGGTAAGGAGGGGATGGAGGTTGGGGTTATGTACCCTGAAGGAAGTGGGGCCCCATCAGCGCGGGGACAACCCTTTGGTTGTCCCCCTTGTCTTCATCCCCTTTCGTTCACCTTTAGGGGATGAACTAAAGGGGGTAGACAAATCCTTCAGGGGAGCCCAAAGGGATGATATCAAGTGCAGTATTTCACGATTGTGTCAGGCTGAATGCCTCCACAAAAGAGTTTGGAAGCCCCCATGATTGCGGAACGCTTCTTACGTGGCGACTTCACAATGGCATTTGCTCTCACCCTGTAACGCCCCAGGGTGGTGTGGTGCTAGCCAGCGGAGCCACGTTCCGTGCATATCAGCAACGGAGGCGGGAAGGTCGTGGTGCCCAACGAGTAATCGGCGGCGGTGCTGGGGGGGCCGGTAGCGGTAGCAGCGGCAGCAGGTCCGACTTCTCACTGGTGCACCTTGGGGACTACTTCTTGGGACCGGCGTCTGTGACAGTTGGTACCGCAGGTACGACAGGGTACGGCCGGCTTGGGGGCCTGAGCGGACGGCAAGGGATAGGGTCACTCAGTTGTCTTTTTGAATTGTAGAAGCGGGGGTTGATGAACGAGTTGTGTGAACTAGCTGAAAGCTATTCCTTTTATGTCGTAGGATGTAGGAGTCCCGCTGCCTCCCTCACATTTATTGTACGAAACCCCTGGACTGGAAGAGCGCCCTCTCCAGGATGGTGCACTGTCTGCGCACCCTTGCATCCCCCCAATTCGGAAGCGTGAATTCCGTGAATTCGCGATACATAACTTGCCATTCATTGTATTCGTTCACCACCAACCTGACCGTAACGCCTATTGCGTTCAATTCGCTGAACCCAAAATGTGACGCAGCACACTGAACTTCACAGCAATGGTCGGTGCCCGTGGGGTGAGATCAATTTGTGGCTCCATGAAACAGATACGACGACCGACGGCTACGCCGGCCCCACTGCACGGACCGCCAGCAAGGATTGCGCCCCTTGTCCGCGTACCCGCACTCCAGCGTATCCCTGCACGCCTGAGTGCGGCCCAACCGCACTTAAAACCGCCAGACGGTTGGCCATGCACGCTAGATAGATAGGCGCTTGCTGGTTTCACCGGATATCACAAATTTGCGACAACAACAACGCCAAAACGGTGAAGAAATGTTGAGACACATTTGTGTAGACGTGCAGACGGAGAGCTCCGCACACGTTTGAAAGCGCACCCGGCTAGCGGGGCTGCAGCTGTTCGGTGCCCTTGTCCGACCGAACAGAACAGAACCTCGACGACGCTGACACCGTGTACTTGTGCCCCAGGCCCCAGCCCACTGCACGCACTGCACAATTCTCCAACCATTTCCCACAGAGGTTTTCCTCTTCACCCTAACCTAGATCAGGCGGTCGGTCAGGCTCCGGACACTCCTCATGATATACGTGATCATGTTCGTAGTTCGTAGCGAATCCCCCCTAGCCCCCTTATCTCGAGGACAGCGTCGTTCATGTCCAATGCCCCCAACCCTTCGCTGGCCCTGCGGATCTAGCTCCATGTGCTCGATGTCCTCCTGGATAAGGCCAACCTATGAACTCGCATCTGGCTCCAAAGCATTTGTATAATGTTGTTACAGGGTGGTATAGCTTCACCAGCGGCCCCCTTTCCCTTGGAGGTAGTTTCCTGCTCTCCCCTGCGAGAGGGGCACCCTAATCCGTTCACCCCATCCGATTTCAGAATGTATGCGTTGGGTTCAGCAACTCACCACCAGCATCCAACCAAATCTTGCGGATCAACGGCGCCAAAACTTAGTTCCGTAAGATGATACAGTCACGTCATACTCCGCTGGGTCAGGCCTTAACTTCTGCCAGCCACCTGCCTCGTATGTATGCCCTGTTCTCAAATTGAGCTTTCCTCGACCGTCTGGGTCTCGAATCACCTCAACAATCTTAATTCGGCTCGACAGGCGAGGCCGACCGACATTCCGCCAAAGGTGACGTCGGCTCGCCCAGGATCCTGGCATCGCCGCGGCCGTCGGTGTCCACAGATGCAGCCATGGCGAACGGCGGCGATGCTCCGGTGGATCTGTACGGCGTCCTATGCCCGTGGCTGCTTCCCCGCCTGGCTATCGTATCATCGGTAGTACGAGCTCGTCAAAACGCCGTACCAGGTTGTCTGTCAGCTCCCGCGGGCGTCGTAGCACCCGTGTTTTGTAATGTACTTGGCGTGGAAGCACTGCTGGCATGGGAGCGTGTCGTACAACAGCGGCAGCTGGCGGCAGCGGCCGCCGTGGCGGCCGCCAGCCGCGTCCTCCCAGAAATGCAATCGCCGCAGCCCACCGCCTCTGTCACTGATGGCGGTGCCTGGCAGCCGCCGTCGTCAACGGCGGGTGTTGGGGGCAGTGGCGGCGGCAGCGCTGTTGTACAGCAGGCCTTGGGGCTGCTGCGCAATACGGCGACCGCGGCGGCGGCGCGCCACGGCGGTTACGTGGTTGCGGTATCGGCGGATGGCGGTCACTGGGTGCTAGTGTTTGGCTCAGCCAGCTCGGCAGTGGGGTGGGGGCTGGAGCTTTTGAACTCGATGTTGGATGCCACCTGGCCGGAAGGCTTCCTGGAGCACGAGCTCACTGAGGAGGTGTACGAAGGTAATAAGTAGGCCTTCCCGCCAAGCTTCTATTGCAATATGTGTATGTGTGTTACATGGTTTTGGGGTGCGTGACCCCATACCTGTACAACTACCCATACGAGCCGAAGGCCCAAGGGCAATATGTAACAGAGACCATACCTATACGCTTAAAATATTTGTATTTATTTTTGTATTTATGTTACAAGCTGCAATATTTATTATTTATGTTATTGAAGACAGGTAGCCACTGATATATGAAAATGGCGCGATCGCTGGGTCGTTCGCTCGCCCGTACCGGTTGGTTCATTCGTTCGCACGTAAATGTACGCAATCCACTCCACTTTCCTGATTGACTCGCGCACATGCTCTTAGCCTTTAATACCTAGGCGCGCAGCTGCACACATGTGTGTGTGTTACATGGTCGTGGGGTGCATTCCCCGTACCTGCAAACGTACTAGCCTTGTTTCACACCCTGTTTTGACTCAAATTCACCCCCAGTCTTGCACACATATGTGTAGACGGATATGGTATTTACATGTACGACTACGTATGGTATTTACATGTACGACTACGCATTTACACGCGACCTTTACTGTATTTCATTATGTCATTGGCAGTCTCACCGTCACGCTCCTCGTCACCCTGCCTTTTTCATTCCCTGCCGGGTAGCCGTACAAATTTCCCGAGTTCCTTACTGTCGCTAAACTGCCTCTACAGTCACGCACTCCTGGCTTTGCATCATCTCCTTCCGTACGTCATCCTTCGTACGTCAGATGATGAACCCGTACTGTTCCTGCTGCTGCTGCTGCTGCTGCTGCTGCATACCTAGGTGGTGTCCTGGTAAAGCGGGGCCTGCGCCTGCGCATCGGCGCAGACCTAGGGACTGCTATGCTGCGTCCCGTGCCGCGTACTGGCCGCCTGGACTACGTGGGCCGGCCCATGAACCGAGCAGCGAGGATTGCGGCCAAGGCCAAAGCGGCAACTGTGAGAGCCTGACGCCATGTCAAATACCTGGGGGGTCCCTTTTTGAACGGCGTGCGAGGGGCAGCTATCCGCTGGTTAGGCCCTAGGTCCATTACTAATATGCTCAACATCACACGGACGTAGACACACACGATTCGGCGGTCGTTCCCGTTGGGGTACGGTCAGGTGCCCCTGGCCAGCGTCAGGCCCGGATTGATGTGTGGCAAAATACACACATACACACATACATACACATGTACCTGCGTTCTTACAGGCGTATGTGTGCACGTGTGCATGTGTTTTGCAGATGTTCGTCAGCGGCGCGGTGTGGAAGGCAGCCCGGAACTGCCTGGAGCATGACGCCGTGTCCGCCACGTGTTTGGGTCTGTCCCAGCTCAAGGGCGTACGGGACCAAGTTGAACTTTGGGCGCTCAGATCCGCCGCAGCCACTCCTAGTCAACCGTAATTAGAACTGCAACCGTAACTGACAACCGCCGTCGGCTGCGGCTCCGTGGGCGCTGGAGTGGGAGGTTCAGCATTGGACTGTGACCCGCCGCCGTCACGGCGGCGTTGGCTGAGGCGGCGATGATGAAGCACCCCTGCATCCAGTTGCTAGGGTAATGGATTGCCGGTCTAGGGAATAGGAACGATGTGCCTGTTTCGACCCGCTTCTTCCGGGCTCCTTTGAAGCTGGCCTGACCATATGGTGACATATTTGCGCTGACCAGGGAGTATTAATTCATGTATTGCTTTACGCGTGGTTGCATGGTGGCAGGGATAGGCTTAGCCATGTGCATATGCCAGCTGCTTTTCGTTATGCACATATCTCTGCCTGGAAAATGGCTTTTCTGTCGTGGCAAGATGACTTGCACGTTGCACCACCTCGCTTGCTCGTGACTTGGTAAGCATGTGTGTGGTATGCACGCACTGCTCGTAGTAAATACAACTGATGTACGATTTTCTCTGTGCTTGCTGTGCATGTTTGGCTCCGAAAAATACAGTAGCAGCACGTTTGGTCTGGTCAGCGGGCCGAACCCATGCGTTTTTTTCCGCGCGTGAGAGGAAGAAAGTCGGATGTTCGATTCGTCCTTCGCCCCGCCTGCCCGGGCCCCAACTCAAATGCATTGGCGACTTGCAATACGAGCAGGGAGTGCCTCCTGCAGGGCGTGGTAGGTCCACCCTATTATTCGTGATTGCAGGTGGATGTGTGGTGCGTACGGTGTGAATAACACTTGCATTCGTGATTGTGGGACGGCTTCCATTAATCAGAGGGATGCAAAGATTAGGGATTGGGTTCGGGTACCGGTCAGGCAGGAATTAGGATTCGGCATTAATTATCATGAACACGCCCTCAACGCACATTGCATGCATACATCTCGCTGTATCCATAGCTCGTTTCTCGAAACACTTAACTGCCCTGGAGGTAAATTCTAGGTGTTAGATTTGTTACAAGTTACAACTGGTTACACATGTGCGATCGTATGTGTGTGCCTTTGCAGCACTGACCTAAACCCTGGTAGCGAGAAATCAACAGAATTGGCGTTACAACGGCCACGTCTTACTATATTCAAGATGTTTTCTGTTCCGTGAATAAGGCACTGACTAAATGTATGTAATGGTGACGAGAAGGTACATCCTCTCATCGCTGTGGTGCACGCGTTCCGCGAGCACGTATAGTATTAAGGTGTGGCAAGCAAGTGGCATCATGGGTTGCAGAGATGCTAACCGGCCTTACTGGTTGTAATGTCAATGTTGAGTCTTTCGGATGTCGAGCTCTTGTGCATACGGATCGAAATCCACCAAGTGGACCGAAAACCTTAGCACCATTCCCAGGTAAGTTGCTTAAGTACGTGTTTTCTTACAAACGGACTTGCAGCAATATGGCAAGGGTTCAACGCGTGCCATAGATGCTGTGACAGCGTTGAGCCTACGAATCCATGTCTCAAGTCCCATGCAACCTGCTAAGATCCGTGGCTCCAGCCTACCCTCCCACAATCGCAGCTAAACCAAGGCTTTCCATGGTAAGGGGGAAAGTAGCTGCCCAGAATGTGTGCCCAATCACAAAGCTTGACGTGTGCAACGCGTCACCAGCCTGCCTGCAGGACGAGGATGGCCACGCCTGCGACTTGGAGGCAACAAACCTTCTATCCACCTATTCTTTGGCCCATCCTGCATTTCAGATCCATCCTTGTTCCCTTGGCCTCATGTGTCATCCCAACAATAAACCTAACGAAGCGCTTCGATTGCAGCTTTATCAACCGCAACGGAGATAGCCAGCGCAATCCCCCCAGACATGGAAATGGCCAGCATGACCCGCATCGACAGACTGACGTGCTCCATAATGAACCACGACGCCCGTTCGTGTAATGCCGGTAAATATTTTGATCCCACACCCGTTACATGTTATCCCCGACACCACAACATCCCTGAAGACGCCGATCTAAACCACGAAAATAGAGCGACACAACACAGCCGGAAGTTTCAGACTACCCCTGCATCTCACGGCCTCTGTGAGTCACGCAGGTCGCCCCGAGACCCCATGCTGGGCCCCCTAAGGCTGCCCAGCGCAGACATGGAACTCATGTTGCTGCCCATACCCGGGCGGCCATAGCCCCTCGGTCCCCCACCCACACGATCGCCGTAGCTACCGCCACCCATGCCGCCATCGCGGCGGTATCCGCCCCCGCGGCCGCCCATGCCACCAGGCCTTGGCCCCGAGCGGACGCTGCCGCGATCCCCTCGGTCCCCGCGGCCACCAATGTTGCGGACCATGCCCAGCTTGACACCTGGTGTGGAAGTCGCAAGCAGACGGGAAATGTGAGCAAAGATGTCCCCTTCGTGGCATAAGCGCAAATAAACAGAAGTTAACAGTAACGTAAAAGATTCACGTCTGGTAGAGACCAACACGTAGAGGGCGACAGGAGTAGAATAAGTCACACCCCCACAGCACTCCTCTCTCGCAAGAACGCACGCAGTTAAATTCTCTCAACGACCCGATGCTCACCTCCTCGGCTGCGGCCACCCGCGCCACCCTCGTCGTCCCATTGACCTCCACGCCGCCTTGACGAACCAGCCATCGCGCCGCCTTCATCATCCGCATCCCGAAGCCCACCCGTCCGGTAGGCCAGGGCACGTTCGTTCAAGTCGACGATTACCGCCGCCTGTTGACGTTAACATGGACAGGATGTTACATAAGAGGACTAAAACGCCGCACGTCACCTTACATACTTCACCTCAACATATCGCTAACGGATGCTGGAAGTGGATACGGCAAGTCACGCATAGATACGCGCGCCAAGTCCAACTCACCCACACCCCTTGCGCGAGACTGAGGTTGGCTGACATGAAAGCATTGTTTTAGATATCCAGCCACGTACGTACCTTATCCGCCAGCTGTAATGCTACCCGCTGCACGCGAGACGACTCGGACGAATGCATCACGATAGTGCGAGTGGGTTGGTCCCATGACCCTGGCAGCTCCTCCGCAATCATCATCTTGCTCGCGATCGAGTATATCTGCGTCAAGGCACGTTTCAGTAAGGATGCATTCAGCCTCAGGAAGGAATATTCAAGTGTATGATTCGCAGACCGCATGCAAGCCATGTTATTGCCCCCCCATCACTGCCGCCTAAATGCTGGAATGCGAAGCGCTGGCCTTAGCATAAATCCTATTTTCGACGCATCATCCCACACCGCATTCATACGCAATACACAAATCAGATAAAGCGCTGAAGGGCACCCCCAACAAGTCAGACCTGCACCCACCTGCTTGTCTGGCAGCTCGAACATCGACGCCAGCTGATCAAGGGACAACGATGCGTACTGGTTACTGTACGACAATAGATACGTCCGTACGGCCTCTTCCTGCACCTTCACCTTCAGCATGGCCAGGACCTGCTCCTTCTTTGGAAGAAGGTTCCACGCATTGAGTGACTTCAGGTAGTTGAACGACTTAGCCCAGTCTCCCTGCAGCGAGACCAAGGAATGTTTACATTATGCATAGCTCACAGCACACGTGTTACTTATTCCGCTTGCCTTCCGCGCACCTGTGCCAGTGCCCTGGACGCCGCCATGATATGATCACGCACGTTCTCTGGCGGGCCTGTGAAGGCCTGGCGTGCATAGGTATCCCACACACGATGAAAGGACTTGGAAATCATCTTCTTCTTCGGGTTGAGCGGATTAGCAGCCATGTTTGGAACCTGTCAGAAGAAAATGCAATCGTAGACGAAAACGATGGTTGAAGGGCATTTCGTCTCAGGCTATGTAGCAACAACTGGTGCTGGACAGGAAGGACTGATACGGCAAGGCAGGGGCGACGCACAGCTGTCATAACTACTTTCATGACATATGGATTAAGCAGGAACAATCACAACAATTCCTGTGCCGGATTAAACGTTTTACGCTTTGAAAGGTCAAATACCCAGCACGACGACAGACGTAATCATGTACCAACCCGCTCGTCCAACCTTACCTCCAACAACATGGCGCATGTAAGGTAAGCGCTCTCCAGCAACTCTAGGGTGATGTGCATGTGGAAGGGCATCTGGCGCCGCTTCTCAGCCAGCTCCTGCTCGGGCGTCTTCTCGTGGTACTTGCCCATGGACATGCCTGCGTGTAAAACATTGTAAAGGCCAATGGCAAACCAGAGCAGCAGTCGAACTGCGCCTCAAGGACTTGTCGAGAGATCTGTCAGCATTAGCACCAGATGACCAAAGCAAAATGGTGATCCGTAGGCCCAGGGACAGGAAGCATGTCTATACTTGCGCAACAACCGGATAAGTCTTTGCGGCGGCCCCATCAAAAGGTTCTTCCTGAAAACACCCCTACACACTCGTTCCTATTTTCCAAAAACATGCTCACCTTGCGCCAAAAGTTCCTTGATGTGACCGCTTCCGTACAGTTCGTTCAAGCAGGCATGAGCCTCATGGATAAGGCCGGCCCGGAAAGCTGCCAGACCCAGCTGGGCCATGGCGCGGTTGTACAAGATCATAGTGGAGACGTCCATGTGCTGAATGGAGTCCTGAGAGGTAAAAGAGAGGATTTGAGCGTTTTGGCACTTCAACGGCTAACGTCCATGTTAAACGATGGAGTACTGGGGCCCAGCACCTGGGCCAACGACCGGGAACGGATGTTTCGAGGCCACCACAAGTACTACCATGAACCCACACCATGGGACCCAACCAAGTTTATCCTACACCCCACTGCTAAGGAACACATGATCGTGTTTGCCCATGCATCGGCACCTGCAAATGGCTCATCAGCAGTAGGTCCCGAGCGCCATGGAAGTCATCGTGGATGGCCTGTGCGAGGAGAAAGGAAGGTTAGATATGGTGAAAGATATCCTGTATATAGTTCGAGGTTTCCATAATGCCTCAAACTTGAAGACGAAGGATTGTAATGCATATAATCATGCAATTCTAATGCCAATCAAAAGTTTTCCCCTACCTTATGGTAGATGTAGCACATCATAGCCCGTGCTTTCGTGCGCTCGTCCCCGTACTTGAAGATGACGCCGCCCACTAGCGACAGCATGAGTTCATGACAGTTTTCCGCCATGGCGTAATCAGATGGCACCAGAACCTCCACCTTCGCACCGGGTTCTTCCTCGTCGCCGTCCTCCATTGCGGGGGCAGGCGCTGAAGCAGTCTGCTGCTGGGCCATCGCAAGCTTCCGCATCGCGTCGTAAACGGTATCGGTCTTGTAGTACAGGTGCTCCACAAGCCGCAAAGCCACCTTGGGGCTCCCGACCATATCACCGACCCTGTTGGATTGCATAACATTTGTCAACTGACACCCAAAAAATTGATGTCACTTGATATGTCCCAACCCCTGCAACTTGAATTCTTGGCCAGGAAAAAACTGTCATACTTTTATCGAAGTGATCTTTCGCCGTAGAATGCCGCGGTCTGGCTCACGTCCAAGTCCAGTTACAGCGCTTCGAGCCCTTTGCCCTTTGAGCGCTTTGAGCCCTTTGCCCAACCAAGCATCTCACCGCTAGCCCGCGGGTCCTCAACCCATACGCACCTCTGCAGGTACTCAAGCACCTTGGTTCCAAGCGCCAGGTATACAGGCTCATCCCTGAGCCGTGCCATGTACTCATGGGTATGTGGGTCGATAACCTGGGCACAGGGCCAGAGCATTCGTGGCCTTCAGGGAGAAACAACGCGATGAACCACACGGGCAACAATAGAACAGCCTCTTTAGCTGTCGCCTGACCTACAATTAAGCATGCCTTATGCTTTTGGCGCCCGATCAAAATCTAACCATTCCTTCACATCCACAGCTGATGGTAGTAACGCCCACATGCTCCCTTTGCGGATGTTGTTCACCCGTTTAACCATAAGCCTCGACCTCACCTGCAGGCTCTTGAAGAGCTCGTCATCCAGGCGCTCCACGAAGGCCACAACGTTACCCCAAACCCGCACCTCTGCGCCGTCTGGTGGCTGCTCTGTGCGCTCCTCCAGTGCGTCTGCATTCTCATCCACCTTGATGTTTGGGTTATCCTGTTATCGATTGTACGGATTTTCGTTAAGTTATAGCCAGGGAGTAAAGCTCGTAATTGGCCGTGGCAGATTGAGCAACACCTCGGGCCAGACAGCACACCGCCACCCTTGCACAGCCACAGGAGGCTCAAAACTATCAGTAAATCCCTCACCCGTGGCAACGTATCCTGCTGTCCTGTGGCTTACATCCCGCGATGCCTCGCTAAGAAACTAGGCAACCACTTTCTGCACCCATGCAATGACAAGAAACTAGTCGACCCCTGGATATGGTCACCATCGCGTAGCTGTAAGCTTTGACGTGATCCGTACTTTACAAACTTGCAAAACTTTGCCCAACGCCCATAATACAATCCTTAGTTTCGCACCTGCAGAATGCGCAGCATCTCCAACAAGTTCACGACACACTTCTTCCACAGCCCCGTCTGCAGATGCCCCATCATGCCAGGGTTAAGGTCGAAGAGACTGCTGGTCAGCTGTGCAAGAACCTCGAAGCGCTGCGCCGGGCCCCGAGCTACTGTCACCAGGTAAGTCAGCATCTCCACCTGCTCCTGCTTGTCTGTGCCCCGGCGGCCCCTGAACAGGCAGTCGGCAGCATGGGCAAGCGCATAGATGCGATCACCACTGCACCGTGCAACCCGCTTGGTTGTATTCACCATCGGCAAGGGAAGGTCGGCTGCATGATCACGACAAATGCCCTTTGAGCTTATTTTGCACAGCGAAAGGACTGGCGCGGCTGACCACCAATAGGCAAAGCGTGCATAATCCCTAAACACTCGGGTGCGTTGCAAAAGGCCATGTCACCGCGAAGCCACCGGCTCTTCTCTAGCTGTTCTTTCTTGTCAACACCGTTTTCCTTTTTCAGGCTCATTCAGTACCTGGACACAACGATCTCCCTAAGCTTCCGCGCCACCATCTCGTAGGTAATCTCCTTAGGGTCCATCGTGAGCAGCTTGTCCTTAGCCTTCTGCTGCTGCTGCTGGTTCTTGCGATCCTCCTGCTCGCGCTCATCGCCACTTTCACTGTCACTGCTTGCAGACTCAGCCGCATCCTCCTCGTCATCCTCATCCGGGTTCTCGCGGACCTGTCATTGCACCACAGTAAGCAGGACATAGCCCATCGGCATGGAACCCCCGGGTAGAACGCCCAAGCACAATCCCTGTACCCAAAATTCCCCCCACGCTACCCGCACGCTCCCCCACTACCCCTTCACTCCCAACTCCCACTTGAGCGCACCTTCGCCATTTGATCCGCAAAGTTGACGTTATGCTTTTTCAAGCGCTGGCGCATGGTGTTGAACGCCTTTGCGTTAGTCTGTGACATCTTTTTCTTAAGGTCCTTATTGCCCAGCGTCTCGTTAAGGTAATCCTCCAGCTCAATTAGGCATTTCAAATAGACGCGAGGCACGGTCAGTCCAACCAAAAACTTGCGCGTCTTCTCCAAACGCTGGTTCAGGATATCGAAGAGCTCCTGGATAGTGCTCCAGTCGTTGATCTTAATCTTATTCTGTCAAACCGGAAGGACAAGTAGCAGGTCAGAGATGGCGCCGTCAGGCTCCGAGCTACATAGAAGGAACATAAGCACAAGCATGCAGGCAAAAAGTAAAGCATGCCTATTATTCTCAAGTCTCACCCGGATGTCCTCCGCTGTCTGCGCCAGCTCGCCCATCCTCTTGTCTTTCTCGCTCTTGACAACACGGCGATCGTCATCGGAATCCGAATCGCTAGAGCCAGCCAAGAACCTGCGCAAAACACGGTGAAAAACTCGACCAGCTCTGGTTGACGGACATAGATGGCGCACGGCGGCTGCGCGCTCACTTGTTAGGCCCCTCGTCGTCCGAGTCCGAGTCCGAATCAGAATCGGAATCTGAACCAGAGCTAGACTCCTCCTCAGAAGAACTGTCGTCATCGTTGCTGGTCTCCTCCTCGCTAGAGGACTCCTCCTCGGTGGTCTCCTCCTCCTCCTCATCGCTGCTGTCTCGGCCCCAGAACTTGGACTGCGTATTCATCAGCATATAGTTAATAAAATGCTACATGATCAGTATAAAGAGCTCAGAGACGGGCTGCTCCCACCATTTTCTCAGAAGATCTGCACGCCGCCGGAACTTTAGAGCGGAAAGAACTGTAAGCCTGTACCGTGCAATGCTCTAATGAAATGTATGTCCAGTTATGCTCTTGAAAGGGTAACTCGAGTGGAAACGCTGGCTTTTTGCCACCACCGGTGTACTGCAACCGAAAAACTTTCCAGCGCTTCAAACTGAGATTCGGAACTTGCATGGTTGGTAAACTCATGCAGACACTGGTCTTTCTATCTTCAACATAGAGGCTTTAAACCTCTTGTATGCCGCACAGCAAAGCTGTGGATGTTAATTAACAACTTCTTTCACGCCCGAGGAAAAGCTCCTGCAAGTATGGTGAGCAGGTCTCAAGGAAACTGGCTTATCCATATTCAAGCTGTCCGTAGGTCCGTCACCCTTTCCAACGTCGCACCCTTCCGGCTCGAAGTGCGTATCATGGCTCTACAGTCGCGGCTCACAAGACATCGTGGTGGTTATAGGTGGAGGGAAGGGGCAACAGTAATCCACAACTCAGGGGCGGCGGGGGGCTCAGGTTGCCATCCCCGTTGCAGAAGGCATAGCAAGGGACCCACGCCCAGGGTTACCACCGTTACCTTGCTACGGTCGTCAAAATTGCTCCTGCAACTCCCTGTAAAGTTCACTACGCGAACTCAATACCGCCGTGTGCATTGCGGCGTCTGAAATCTGGTGTGGGGCATTGGCTCAAATTTGGCTGTGAAGGTATGATGCAAAAGGTGTGTGCCAGATGACCAGTTCTCCCAGGCGGCACGCATCAGTGCAACTGCAAGGTACATCTGCAGAAAAGGTCGATGCCGTACGCTACATCCTGGTGTGCTGATTTGCACCCACGCATGCTGCATGCTTGTATCCACGACGGACAGGGGACTGCTGGGGGTTTGAGGGGCAGGATGGACAGCATTGCCAGGACAGGGAGCAACGATTGAGGTAGGGCCCAGCAACAAGTGCAGCCGGGTGGCACGCGACTTGGATTGCGATGGTACTGCAGTTGTTCCCTGCCCGGCTGGACCATGCGACCATCGCTTCAGACAAGCCAGGGGTTTGAATAAAGCGGCCAGCATGCCGCTAACAACGATGAAAGGGAAGAAGGATGCTCCATCCAGAGAATTCACATTTTACAGCGTCCCTCACTCCTACACATTAACTCCATCGGCAAGCTGAGGCTCCTGTTCACCTCAATGCGTGTGCTTAATTGAACCCACTGCAGCCATATATACCGGAGACCGGTGATGGTGCCGCTGCAGCGGCCTCCTTTGAGGTGCTGTCCCTGGTGCCACGGCAGGGTAGCTAGCATGGCGTACGTGGAGAGTGGGGCCGCTGTGGTTGGTCGGACCACGTCACCTGTCATCGCAACGGCAGTGTGGCGACCATGAGGTTTTAACGGCAGCAGCCTGCCGTGGGTGACCTGGAGCCGCCTGGCTCTGATGCTGTTCGGGACCATGATTGGTGTACACCTGGAGGATGATGACAATGATAATGATGCTTGCAGGGTAATGCCGATGGCGCTAAAAAGTCGAAGGGAGCAGGCACTGGCTGGTAGCAGTGCAGGGTGTAAGCGCCAGCGGTGGCAGATGTTGGGTGCGGGAAGCTGAAGTGGCAGCCCAGCTCTGAGCCCCGGGGCCAGGGTAAGCCCTGGTGGCTGCGGCTGTGGCTGTAAAGCATCTATGTGATATATTTTGCGTGCCTAGGGCAAATGGTAGACAGCTGGAGCAGCAAGGCACTCCCTTATATTTCCACCGACGCCACTGATGACGCCATCACGTCACCAGCTGCCAGATTGGTGGGCAGCTGCAGCCACTCCTGCTGCCGCTGATCGGCTCCCAGTTGTCCACATTGGCGGCAGCAATCTCTCAATTAGGGTTGTTGCTAGCCCTCACATCTCTCATAGCTGCTACCTGGCCAGAATGGCCTGCACAGATTGACGACAGTGGCACATAAGGCTGTGCTAATTATGATGTTGCGGGTTGTAGATTGTCTAATAAGCAGCCCTGTTCCCCTGTTCCTCCTCGTCGTCGTCTTCCAGCTCCATCTCCTCCTCTAGCACATCCTCTGCTGCCGCCATGCTTCAGTGGTGTAGCTTGCTCAACCTCTAACGTTCTCCATGTCGTCACAGCCTGACATGTTGTCAAATGTGCACGCCTTTGGATTGAACCCTGCCGGGTACTTACCCTTGCAGTGTTCCAGGGCCAGCATGGCCAACGCCCATGGACCACCAGCAGCTTTGTGTATGTGTGTTACACCTTTAGAGTTGCGTTACCCTCCAAGCTTGTAACGATCCCACACAAGCTGATGGTCAAAGGGCCTGACTGAAATAACGGAAAACGCATAAACAGAAACAGTTAATTCACCACCTTAAGAAAGGCTACGCCTGACGATAGTCAATTGAGTAAAGGTTGAGCTTCTGTGATCCCTGCGCGCGTGTAATTGTGATGGTGCTTAAATAAGTGACCTTAAATTTATCTTGGGCAGTTAAATCAAACCGATGTCTATGAATTAGCATTGAAGATGCCAGCTAGTGGGCGATAGTGAGTGAGTTAGCTGTGAGTTACTGATATGGACGCTGGATGGACTAGGCAAGACCAGGTTGGACTGCGGCAGATGACGTCCTGTAGGATAGCGCGCATTCAATGAGCTTGCATACATAATCTTAAGTGAAGACTACACTTTTTGCGTACTCTGCAACTGTAGGCTACCTACGTATGAAAGGAGCGAAACATGATGTCAGTCTGTTCAAACAACATCGCAACCTAGCTACCGGCAAACAATAGAGTGGACGCTGAAAGATAAGCACTACTGGTGCATCTGATCCTGTGCATACTTGAAATTGAAATTTCCCATCTTCATATGTGGCTGTATTCAGATGTTGCAACAAGTGCATCACAAGGTTGCATCCCCGCTCTGATCGGCCCCATTTCGGCATTACAGCGAAGGCATACATTTTGAAACTGTTGAACGCTATGTATCTAACAATATCTATCTGCATAGGTGGTCGAGCTTACTTCGGCCGCACTTCGGCATTACTCGCCCCGATAAGGGCACTGGATCCGTCTGGATTCTTACCTATGTCCTACCTGTGATTGCTCCCTTTAACGATAAGGGTAAGTTTTCTTGCTGACTCCTGCGTTTTCCAAAGAAACGCCACCCAATGCCCCCCAGCAACGACTCACGACAATCCAGACGGCTCCGGCTCCTCACACGGGCCTGGTGTGCAGGTACAGACATAACCAGAGATGCATACCACAAGCCCGGCCGTATATGATTTGCTGGGGAAAACCTTTGTGGCGGTCTGGCGGACATTGAGCAGTTGAGTGCCAAACAAGCGGCTGACCGTACCTTTGTATTGTTCATTGTTCAATCACTCACCTGAGCCAGTCGATAGAGATTGATATGAGTACAAAAATTCAATGCGGTATTTGTAGGCTGGCGTTGTATCAAAATGCCGCTCAGAGACCTGCTGTCCGCCGGATTTGAGGCAAGGCTTACTTTCTTAATGTAACCACGGATATAATGATAAAAAGATAAACAGTTATTTATGATGGCAGGATTGGACATCCCTACCTTATGAATGTGAGCAGTGCCGAACAACAAGTACGTGAAGGTACGTACACAGCACACCATTGAGAGAGCACTTGGTATCATATTGTAACACAATGAAAAAGTTTAAAGGCTATGCATTTACACAAAGGACCTTCCCACATATAGCTTTTCGGGCATGTCTCGTTTCCTCGACAGTGTTAGCAATTGCTGCAGTTTCTCCACAGTTCTTGCCGCATCAGCATTCAATTTGGGATTTAATTACTTTCACGTTTTGAGTTATTGACTGCCTTTGTCGTCCTTTTCTAAGCCTCAGGCCTCCGGTCCATCGGCAACTCGCCTTCCTTTTTCCGCCTATTTGCCGCTCCTCCTCATCCCAAAAGCCTGAAAAGATTAAATATAGGTCCAAATCATCTGAGATTATGATATCAGGGCACCAACTGGCATTGTAACCCTTAACGGAGGCATTCAAGCCGCACCCTAGGCCGTGCCCATCGGCTCCGCGCTTACAGATCCATTCACTATAATAGCCGAGACAAGGAACACGTGAGTGATGCAGAGAGGGTACGGAGCTCAACTCGATACTAGTGCGTCGAGCGTCATTCAGAAGTGTATCTGATGACCCTATCCCTAAGCTGACGGGAGCACAGCCAAACAGCTAAACGAACCACAGTTACGCACAGAAGCAGCGACCTGGGAAGCGCAGCTCAGGAGGCTCGCTGCTACACTGGGGCCGGGCCTAGGCCAGAAGCCCGGTGGAGGGAAAAGGGGAGGTGACCCGGGGCCTTCTTCTCGTTCGGGTGCAGTGGCGGTAAGGAGGGCAAAAAGAAGTGCGAGAGCAAGGTCCTGATGCTGCCGGGGCAGCCCCTGCAGCAGCAGCAGCAGCCGTGTGGTGGATTATCCGCGTTACTTGGTAACGGTGCTTCCAACAATCTTACAGTTTCCATCGCCACCACGGCCACAGCCGGCCCCCTGCGGGATACAGCTCCCGAACAGCGAGCGGGGTGGATACACTGCGGACCGTTGGAGGAGCCTTAGCGGCGCCAGCTGAGAGTGCCAGCACGGTAGCGCCGGCGGCGGCGGTAGAAGGCAGCATGTCCCCTACATCACGGCCGAGCCACCGCGAGATGCTTATCCTGCCAGAAGAGCAGCCATCGCAATCACTGCCGCCACAGCTGCAGCCTCAGCAGCGGCCATCGCAGTCTCAGGTACACACACCGGCACAGCAGGTGCAACCGGACGTGGCGCTGGCCGGCATAGTGATGTCGACTATGCCGGTAGCGGAGGTGGCTGCCGTGCAGGCGCAGGCACCCGTGCTGGCCCTGTCTCAATATGATTACACTGCCAACCCCACCACGCCGGGCGCGGCGGTAAGTGGCGGCATTATCAGCATGAGTGGAGGGGATGGAGGCAGTACTGAGCCCGGTGGCGGCGCCAGCCGCAGGGCCCTGTCCGTGGTCCCTCCCGGCGGCTTGGCGCCTGTAGCGGATCTGCTGTTGGATGCAGAGGCCTCTACCCTGGTACGGCAACTGGGGCTTGGCAGCTACGACGACGATGCTGGCGGCAATGTTAGTGATGGCGATGGTGGTGGTGGTGGTGGTGCTGCTGCTGCTGATGATGATGATGATGACCGGGTGGCAGCGGAGGAGGAGGTTGGAGGTAGAGGCGGACTCCGCGGTCGCAATAATGGTTGCGGCACTGTGGCAATAGCCGGTGGAGACTGCGGCGAAGTCCCTCATGAAGGGCCGCTAAAGCGAGGGACCACACAGCCAACAGGACCAGCGCCAGCAGTGTCGGAAGGAGCTCAATGGAGGACAGCCACAGGGCTGCCGTCAGCGGCGGCAGCCACGGCTGGGCCAGCAGCGGGAACAACTGGCACGGCGGCAGGTCCACGACGTCGGGCTCCCCCGGGCACACCCCGGCAGCCCCGACCGGATGAGCTTGGGCGGACAGAGTACTTCTCCGCTTGTGAGTGTGAATATGCCCACCCGTCATTTCAAACTACTTCACGACCGCATGTCCACATGCACATGGTTGAAGCATATGATACCGGTGACCACCTTACTCCCGTGCTTCCGTACTCGCCCTTAATGTTTTCGTACGTCCTTACATTCACAGGCCCCACTCAAGGTCTGGAGTACCAGACTATCCTGCGGGTCCATAAGCGGGCTATCTTGTGCGGCGCGGTACGGAAATGCTCCAGGGGCGGCGGTGGCGGCGGCGGCAGCGGCTCCCGTGGACCTTCTTGGCTGTTGCTGAGTGGCGGCGAGGACGGCTACGTGTTGTGGGACCTGGGACGGTGCAGGCCTCTCCTGATGTCTTTGGAGGAGGAGGCGGAGGGTGTGGGGCAAGTCGCGGAACAGGGACAGGGGTCAGGCTCCGGGCCGGGCGCAGGGCTTACTGCTGCAGCTGCGTCGACGGGATCGGCTGCTTCAGGAGGGGACTCCGAGGCGCCCGAACATCGAACTGCGGTCAGGCGAGTGGACGGAAGTAGAGTTGGGTTTTACAGTTTTAGGATTGGGTCTTAGTGAGGGAGAGGAATGGTGTAAAGCAGCAGCCGGCGGTGAAAGCAACCTACTGTCTGACACAAAGTGCAAGTCCAAAACCGACACATTGACACAGCGACCCACCTAGCCGTTCCATCCGCTGACGCCGCTGACCAAAGGACGGCGCTCCCCGTTGATTCGCCGCAGGGCCCAGCACCTACCTCGCCCACCTGGAGCCGTAAATTGGGGTGCTGTAAAGCAGATCTTATCTGTGCGAATGCGGGTGGGCGCGGCTGTATCCGATTCGGATACAGGTCAGGATCCAGGATCTGGTGGATTCGATCAGGGGAACGTGGAACGGGTTCGCGACGGCGGAGGCGCGGGCGGTGGCGGTGGCCTCGGCATGGATGTGGGCGGTGACCACGGAGACGAGATGGATGAGCGTATGGCAGCTGCATGGCAGGTATGAGGAGGTGGAGAAGAGGAAGAGAAGGGAGGGAAGGGAAGGGAAGGGAAGGGGAGGGGAGGGAAAGGGAGGAAAAGGAAATATGCTCCTCATCCTTCCGTTCGGCAGGCTTGAACGGCTTAGATAACGTACACGCCCATGCATGTAAAGCCGCTTTCCTTTCCTTTCCCTTTCGCACGCGAAGATTGCGGCTGTAGGATACTAATTACTGTTCGCTGTCGTGTTCTGGCCGCAGCAACACACACACACATGTATACCTCCAGTACGCCTCTGTTCCCCTCCTCCCCTCCGGAATCTTAACCACCTCATTCGTACAGGGCGCGTCGTACCGCAACATGATTACGGCCGTTGCCTTTGTGTCAGATCATCGTTGGGCCACGTGTCACCCCGGGGGTGCTATCCGCGTGTGGACTGCGGACACGGTGCGGGTTGGGCTTGCACGGGGTGGACGGGGAGAGGGGTGAGGAAGGGGAGGAATAATAAAGGGGAGAGGTGGAGAGGGGTGAGGAAGGGGAGGAATAATAAAGGGGAGAGGTGGAGAGGGGTGAGGAAGGGGAGGAGAATAAACAAATGCTTCAGTTCTAAAAGACCCAAACGCGCCCAGTGCGTGTCCGTGTGTATCGATGGGTGGGACCTCTGAGGCGGGCGGTTAGCTTCGGAAAGGAGGTGAGAACGGGTAAGGGCTAGTTGGGTTTGTTCTTGCAGCTAGGGCACGAAGACAGGAGAGGGATATGGTTGTATGGCGGTGTACTAGGAATTAAAAAGTTCGCCGCAGGTTATGGGCGGGTCCGAAAATGGCATCATAATTGGCCACAAAAGAATCCCGACTTGCACGTGTGCGTAGAGGAGGGGCCTGGTGTGCCCGAAATGTGCAGCCCATTTGGTGTGGCACCACCCACGTTTAAAAATGGTCATACACATTCCCCACATCTTTGCCACCAGCTCTCTCCATTGCGTCCCTCGTCTACCCACTTCAACCCTGTGCTGCCGCCTCGTGGTATGCCGTACATCATGCTGCAAAACAGTCGTACACTTCCGCCACGCTGGAGCGCACCCTGAATGGCCACGTGGGCTACATTAACAACATCTCGTCGTACGGCGGTGGGCGTTACGCCATCACCACGGGACTGGACACCACGGCCCGCAACTGGGACCTGTGGGAAGGTCGGCAGCTGTCCGTGTTCAAAGACCACGAAAATGAGGTACGTAGGTGTTAAAAGGTTTTGATGTTGTAAGGTAGGCGTTTAAAGGTAGGCGTTCTAATGTTCTATGAGTGTGTCCGTAGTTGCGAACTTAAGGGGATCGCCCCGTGACCTGATCCGATTACCGTACATCTTTTCATATGCCGTACGGACGTACGAACAGCCTGCCCTGGTAGGAGACAGGGCTGGGCAGAAAGGGTGGCGGAGCAGCAGCGGTGATACGTGCGGCAGAGAGAGAGAGAGAGAGCTTGTATGTACTCCCCTCTTGCTCATCCCCACCTCCCCGCCCTCTCCCTCTCTCGTTCAACCTACGGAAGGTCACTGCTGTGGCGGTGATGGAGAGTGGTCGTATGGCCCTTACGGCGGCGGAGGTGGTGCCCGAGGTGGCGTCTGCGATGCTGTGGGACCCCGCATCGGGTGAGTCTGTATGTGTGCCTGTATGTGTGTATGCAAGTAAGTTCCATTGCCCTCGCTGCCCGCCCTACCTGCGTTCCTGGCAAGCAAGGCTGGTGAGCTGGTTGGGTGTATACGTATGGCCGTGGTCATCAGCTCCCCGCCTCGTCTCATGTGCCATTTCTCCCCTCACCCTCAACCCCTCTTCCCACGTCCCAGCACCCAGACCCAGCCTAGCGCAGCCAACCCCAAACACACCTATTTGTCAGACCTTCGGTGAAGCTACACGCACTAAGCCTCAGATACGTACATACATACATACATACACCCGTGTACATATATACACACGCACTCACGTACACGTTTGCAGGCAAGTTGCTCCACACGCTGTCGGGTCACCACGGCTGGCTTTTCGGTCTGGCGCTGAGTGAGCGCCGCAAGATTGCTGTGGCCATCGGGGAGCATGCCACCCTGTTCATCTGGAATATCGACACGGGTGAGCTGGGTGCTTTGCCAGGAGTGGGGCCGGGGATTGGCGTGGGGGTGGGGGAGTGGGGATGGGGGAGTGGGGTTGATTGGAGTGGGGTTGGATTCGGTTTGGCGTGGAGATACGAGGGGGTGGCTACGGAGAGGTGAGACTGTAGTCAGGTGGTGGTGAAGTAATGGAGTTGGCTTTTAGGCGGATGGAGGATTTGTGGACGGAGTTGCCCAACGCGGCTCTGTGAAGTGGGGAAATGAAGTGGATAGGAGCGTGGAGCGTGGGGTTTCGGAGCGTGGAGCGTGGGGTTTCGGAGCGTGGAGTTTCGGAGCGTGGGTGTCCTCCGCGGGTTTGGGAAGCCTTGGGGACTCCTTAATTTGAGCTGTAGGTTAGGGGGTTTAGGGTTTCTAGGGACGTGCAGTTGGTTGGGTGGTTGGGTAGTTGGGTGGTTGGGTCGGTCATAATGCGTTGCCTTGAGTTTGGTATTTAGTGCACGAGCGATACTACCGCTCTGTGGATGGCCTTTCCTCTCTCCCATCCCTCCCTCCCTCCTTTCCACTGCACTGCGCCGCGTTGTCTACTTCTCTCACCACGCATATAACCCCTGGGACCCGCATCTTCCTCACCTTGCCTCATCCGCGGTTCCTTATAACGTACATCCCCCATACATTCCTGAAACCAGCCTGCCAGCCGCATAGACGGGCTTGGAACTGTTGTTCCCCTTTCCTAGCCACCCGGGTGTTCCCTCCCGCCGATCTTCCCGTTCTCACTTCCCCTCACAACCCTCCTTCTTACCACCCGCCTCTCCTCCTCAACCAACTTCTCATCCCCTCTGGACTCACTTCCCCCTACACACCTTTCATCCGCCTCACCCACCCTTTCAACCCCCCCCCCGCGTCTCCCACCCTCAGGTGACTTGCTGTTAGCTAAGGTGGTGGCATCCGACGGACTACAGCGCTGGGCCTCAATCAACAGCGACGGAAATTTCCTGTGCTTCGGATCCGCAGTACGTGTGTATGTGTATGTGTATGTGTATGTGTATGTCTATGTCTATGTATGTATGCATGTATGTATATATATGTGCATGTTACAGCTGCTGCAAGGGTTGGATCTGTCCTAACCAGGGGGGGGATGAGATGGTCCGCGAGCTCGCCACGGATACCCCTAGGGTGTGTGTGTGTGGGGGGGAGGGTAGCCAACGTGAAGGATCGGAAATGGCAGCCTAGAAGGCGGGGAGGACGGACCCGGGTCCTTGAGAACAGCAGGATATGCTGCGTCAAGGTTTAATGTAGTGGGGCGCCTGAAAACAGGAGGTTTCGGCATGTATAACGACTTACCGTACTAACGGTACCGACGGGCTCAATGCTGCATGTTAACCGTATTTCTGGTGCGTGGGTGGATCTGTTTCCGTACTTTAAGGGAATCTCAAGGAGCGACCGGTCTCGGAATAATCATGCCGTACTGTATGTGCATACCGTACAGGAAGGTGTCGTACGTGTTGTGGAGACATACTACGGCTGCGAGCTGGCTCGTTTCGACTCCACTTGGGTAGACCCAGACTTCCATTCCATCAGCGCCTGCTTCTTTTGCGATGACGAGGTGCGTCTGTCTGTCTGTCTGCCTGTCTGTCTGTCTGTCTGTCTGTCTGTCTGTCTGTCTGTCTGTCTGTCTGTCTGTCTGTCTGTCTGTCTGTCTGTCTGTCTGTCTGTCTGTCTGTCTGTCTGTCTGTCTGTCTGTCTGTCTGTCTGTCTGTCTGTCTGTCTGTCTGTCTGTCTGTCTGTCTGTCTGTCTGTCTGTCTGTCTGTCTGTCTGTCTGTCTGTCTGTCTGTCTGTCTGTCTGTCTGTCTGTCTGTCTGTCTGTATGCGTGTGGGGGCTGATATTGGCGGTAGGACAAGATGGCGGCGGAGGGGGTCAACCCAGGAGGGAGGTGGGTGAGAGTGTTGGTACATGTGCGGGTATGGTATTGGGTGCGGCTGAAGGAGGGAGGGAGTAAGAAACCGCGAGAGGCTCAGGTGCTGACTTAAAGCAGCGTCGCGTACAAGGCCCAGGACTAAAACATTACAATTCAATCCTTCGGTTCAACTTCTGTTGTCTTCTGCGGTACACGCTTCTTATTGTTGCGTATGTAAACATCGTTCACACTGTTTCGGTCGTAGGAAAGGACTGGCATAGATAAGAGAAGATGACATTTCCGTTGCTTCAGGCAATCCCCGTCAAGTTGTGTGGTCGCCGTAGCTGTGTCTGTGTGTGTGTGTGCCGCACTATACGCCAGCTGCTATAGCCCAAATCCTGATTCCCCTGATTAAACCCTTCCACTCCCCCCGGCCCCTTCCACTCCTCTTTCCCCCGTCCGCTCCCGACGACCGTTGACTCCTCCCTTCAGCTGCATGACGACCCAGAGCACTGGACCAACAAGTTCCTGTCGCTCCAGGGAGACTCGGACGTGAGTAAGAGTGCGGCCCCGGATCTGTTTATACGTACGTATGTATGAACGTATGGGCATGTGCGCGTGCATGTTTGTGTGCGTGTGTGTGTTTTTTGAGGTCCACAATAACCCTCTCTCCAATACCTATCGCACGGCGCACGCTATCTATCGTTTTGGATATTATTCGGTAATGTGGGTTCGATTTGGTGACCATTAAATACCCTTTTCCGTTCATTTCGCATCTAATGCCTTTCTGCCCGAACCGAATCTACCCCTCTTCTTGCCCTTCCGCTTCCCTTTGCCATTACAACTACACGCAAACTCACGTCCACGCAAAACACCCAACCCTCAACATGCACACGCATAAATACACGCAAAACCGCACACGCACATGCACATGCGCGCACTACAAAGCACACCCGTGTTTTGGCACACGTGTTTTAACGCACGCGATGTCTCCCTCCCACCCACCGCAGGTGAGCTGCCTCTTCCGGCCGCTAACCACGTCGCCCTCCATGAGCCATAACCCAGCAGGGATGAGCAATCAGAAACAGCTACAGCCCCAACCGTCTCAACCGCCAATGGCGGGGGGCTTATCGGCCCTGGCGACCCCAGGGGCTGTGTCCATGTTGACGTCGGGATGGGGGACCACGGGAAGGGGCCTGGGCCTGGGCCGAGGTCTTGGTCTAGGTCTGGGCGGCTTAGGTGTCAGTGTTGGCAGCGACGTCGGCGGCAGCAACAAGAGCATGGTCCGAGCCAGGGTCCTCCACAGCGTCCGAGCAGCCGCGGCGCTGTGAGTCCGTTTGCCTAAACGTGTCTGCTGTGTTTCTGTTTGTCTCTCTGTCTGTCGGTTGTTACAATGTGTGTCTGTTGTGACTTTGCAAGTCAATTGGAGAGCGAGGGATCCGGCAATGGGAAGGGGGCTGGAGGGAAGAGGGGCTGGAGGGAAGAGGGGCTGGAGGGAAGAGGGGCTGGAGGGAAGAGGGGCTGGAGGGAAGAAGGGGCGAACGGGGATAAAAGGAGGTGGAGGAGGTCACGTGGGAACAGGTATGCGGGTTCTGGGTGCTATGGGAGGGTGAGGGGAAGAGGAGCATGTGGGCGCAAGCGCGCAGGACCGAGGGCGCGCAGAAGGGGAGGTGTGGGCAGAGGAGGCACGAGGTCCCTGAAGCGTTTCCCCTTATGCTCGGCGTTTGGCGGACCTTATCCGGACCTGGATTCTCTTCCTTCAAACCCTAAAACCAATTTTCAAACCCCAAAATCGTTCCCAAACCCTAAAACCGTTCCCATACCCTAAAACCACCCTCTCAGGGCCGCTATTGGTCGGGCCGCCGCTGCTGCGAGTAATCATGAGGCAGATGATGCAGATCAGGTGTGTACGGGCTGTACGGATGTACAGACCGATGCACATTCGTACATTCCACTTTTCATTCGCTGAATACGTCACCAGAAAATAATACTTATGGACCCCGTCCTTCACCTCCACAGTACGATTTCATTAGCGATGGCGATGGTGATGGCGGCGGATGTGATGGCTGCGGCGGTTCCGAAGTTGCTGGTGGTGGCGGTGGCGCCGGCGGCGGCAGCGGCAGTGCTTCCAAGGTGATAGCGGCCGTCAAGGCCTACTCCATCACTGGCGGCGGTGGTAGCAGCCGCGGCGGTGGTGGCGGCGGCCGTGCCGTTAACAACCACGGTAGTCGTGGCAGCAGTAGCGGCGGCGGCGGTGCAGTGAGCTATGGCAGCAGTGTCCGGAAATCCGTGGCGCTCCGCAAAGTGGCCCCGCTGCCTGCCCGATTGGAGCGCATCAACACTGACTCAAGGGGTTTGACGGTGCGTGAGAGTGTGTGTGTGTGTGTATATGTGAGAGAGAGAGAGAGAGAGAGAGAGAGAGAGAGAGAGAGAGAGAGAGAGAGAGAGAGAGAGAGAGAGAGAGAAAGAGAAAATCTGTGTGACAGAAAGGATGTGTATGCGTGTGTGTGGAGTTGCGCACATTTTTTGCGTTCGATGTGGATTACACATCGTACTGTGCTGTGTTGTATTGCACCACTGTTCCTCTCTGCGCACTGCCGCACCTCGCCGTACTGCTTACAGTCACCCACACACCCACACACCCACACACCCACACACCCACACACCCACACACCCACACACCCACACACCCACACACCCACACACCCAAACACCCA